GGATGTAGCCAGCATGGCTGAGCTACCAGAGGGAAAGAGAAGCGACTGGGCTCCCACTGCAGGTTCAAGGCCCCTGCTGTCATACAAGTGTTTGACTTGAGGAAGCATAGCTCAGTGATTTAGACTAACCCTTTTCACCCTGAAGACCACATTAACCTTCTAAGCAACCTACTGGAAGCCAAACGCCAGTGGCATAGTCTCCAACTTCCCTGAAAATGAAAGGGCTGTCACGAAAACCCTTAAACCGTCACAGCTTCTCACTGTGTCGTGCAGAGTCACGAATTCTGAAGTGGCCCTTCAGCAGTGTTTCAGCGAGTTACTGGAAGTTCAGATCCACACATTCCTCTAACACATATAATAATAATAATTTATTATTTATACTCCGCCCATCTGGCTGGGCTTCCCCAGCCACTCTGGGCGGCTTCCAACAAAATATTAAAATACAAACATTAAAAGCCTCCCTAATCAGGGCTGCCTTCAGATGTCTACTAAAAGTCTGGTAGTTGTTTTTCGTTTTGACTTCTGGTGGGAGGGCGTTCCACAGGGCGGGTGCCACTACCGAGAAGGCCCTCTGCCTGGTTCCCTGGATCTCAGTGTCCGGGCAGAACATGCCTCCCACTCCCTCTGCCTTGCCCACTCAATATGGCACCACTTCCTGTTTTTATAAAAACAAGATCTGGGTCCTAAGAAAGTCCCTACAAAAATGTTTCACCATTTTGCTGCTCCTCAGTCATTTGGTTGCTGCATCTGAGTCCCTGCCCTGGCCTTTGAAGAGGAGTAGGCACCGGGAGGGAGGGGCACTGGAGGCTGAAGGATGGCCGAACCCCCAGGACCACAAGGCACTGAGGTGGTGACCCTGTGTCTGTGCTGGAGGCAGAGCTGGGTGCCTGCCAGAGCCATCTGGAATGGGAGAAGAAGCTGCACCTCAAAGCCCAGGCCAGAGTCCCTATTTTCATTGGAGGCATGTTGGAGGATATACAGTGGTGGACAAGGCCACAGATTAAAGTAGGCGGAGTGAGCCATGTGAATGTTACCTTCATGCAGTGAAGCTACTTTTGACACACATTTCTCTCTAACCTCCATCCAGGCAATCAAGGACTATTACTAGTGTTGAAGGACACATTACAGACAGGCAAAAAACTCTCAAGGAAGGTGCCCATGAGGGAAGGCAGGGCCCGTGAAGAATGTGGCATGGCGATAGGGTGTGTGGCTGGGGGGAGTCCTGGAGGGCCACATTACACATACACACAAACACCAGGATAAGGGGACGACAGAGGATGAGATGGTTGGACAATGTTCTCGAAGCTACCAGCATGAGTTTGACCAAACTGCGGGAGGCAGTGGAAGACAAGAGTGCCTGGCGTGCTCTGGTCCATGGGGTCATGAAGAGTCAGACACGACTAAACAACAACAACAAACAGGGCTGCCTTCAGATGTATTCTAAAAGTCTGGTAGTTGTTGTTCTCTTTTTCATCTGGTGGGAGGGCGTTCCACAGGGCAGGTGCCACTACCGAGAAGGCCCTCTGCCTGGTTCCCTGTAACTTGGCTTCTTGCAGCAAGGGAACCGCCAGAAGGCCCTCGGCACTGGACCTCAGTGTCCGGGCAGAATGATAGGGGTGGAGACGCTCCTTCAGGTATACTGGGCCAAGGCTGATTAGGGCTTTAAAGGTCAGCACCAACACTTTGAATTGTGCTCGGAAACATACTGGGAGCCCATGTAGGTCTTTCAAGACCGGTGTTATGTGGTCTCGGCGGCTGCCCTCAGTCACCAGTCTAGCTGCCGCATTCTGGATTAGTTGTAGTTTCCAGGTCACCTTCAAAGGTAGCCCCACATAGAGTGCATTGCAGTAGTCCAAGTGGGAGATAACCAAAGCATGCACCACTCTAGTGAGACAGTCACTGGGCAGGTAGGGTCTCAGCCTGCGTACCAGCCTGCTTGTGCCGTAGAACCCCCTACCACCCACCTAGAATCCTGAATCCTGAATCGCCCACTAGTGGGCAGTAGGGACCAGGTTGACAACCCCTGGTTTAGACCATGCAGGTTTGCTAGATCTGATTATGGGTTTGAATCCCATGGACTCTTTCATAGAGGGGAAACAGATCCTGTTCAGAAGGAAAGCCACTGCATAGCAGAATGTTTACTCTGACAGGTCCAGTTCCTGGGCATCTTGAGGTTTTAAAAGATGGCAGCAAGGCTAAGGTAGAAACTAGTCTTACCACCTCCTCCCTGAAAACTGTAGTATATTTTTGTGTTCTGCAGTCCGCAGCATGCACAATATGTTGTGGGAAAGGCTGCTTTGTTTTCATTTTGTCTCTCTGCGCTTTCTTAGCAACATATAAAAAAGCAGATGTTACATGAGTTCAAAATGTACAGCATTCCCCAGGGAGTGTGTGAAAAAGCTGCATATAAGAACATACAAAGAACATATATGGTTCAGGCCATATGGACAGTGTGTGGATCAACGGTAAATTAGATCAGAGGCTCCACCTGGCACTGCATGTTTCATAACATCAAAGGTTAAACATCCCTGTTCAAACACTGGAAGAAAATATTTAATTAGATGTACCTGTGAAGGAAAACCATGCTTCTGAAAACCAAGGATATCTAAGACCTTCTGCCTGCCCTTTACATTTCCCTCTCCTTTGTAAATAATGCTGATCTGTCATAGTCTGCTGGCAAGAAGCTGAGTCGCCAATTCAGAGTTAATTAAAATGTGAAACCTGGGACTCCAGAATTATATGATTTAATGTTTTGCAGTGGCAGCTTGGCAGTTTGCAGGACCTTAGAACTGAGCTTTGTGGTGCTTTGGCTTAGCAGAATGATAGGAACAAAAGAAGACCCTGCTGGATCAGGCCAGTGGTCCGTCTGCTCCTGCATTCTGTTCTCACTGTGGCCAGCCAAGATGCCTGTGGCAAACACAAGAGCAGGACCTGAGCACAAGAGCACTCTTTCTACTTGTGAATCCTAGCAACTGGTGCTCAGAAGCATATTGCCTCCAGCAGTGGGTGTCGAACTTAACCACTGTTGCTAGTAGCAGCTGATAGCCCTGCTTTTCGTAATTTGTGATCTAATCTTAGGTCTTGTGAGGTCTTGCAAACATATTTGGTTCTAGTACAGGCAGGAAGCTATGCTTTTAGGAAGCATGTTTTAACTGGCAACAACATTATTTAAACTGTGCACATGATAAGCAAAGTGTGGATGTGGTTTAAAATTTTGATGTCTTTTTTATATTTTTAATCTGTTGTCATGTGTGCTTAGTCTGTAGGATGAGCAGGCAGGGTTATAAATTTTAAATGAAAGGAGCCAAAAGGCAATCGAAAGCAAAGACTGTCCATCCACCAGTGCCCTATAGCTGAACCATGCAATATTGATCATAGTGTACCCCCAAGCACAGAACAGATGCATTATGGAAATGTGCTTACACAGAGCAGATGAATACCCAGTCTTGCGTGTATGTTAGTGTTTATTTAATATTTACACTGTTTTCAAGCTGTGCTTTACATGTGGCGATCAGCCATTCCCTTTCTTGCTGCTCTGTTGGCCTGGCCTGCTCTCAAGGATCCCACGATTGGGCAAAGGGGCAGGATGGGGATAGAGAGCAAGACAGGCTAGTGGTTGCAGCACCATGGACAGCTACAAGCAAGCAACTCAGGGTAAACTGAAGGCTTTATGCATCTGACACCATGTTGCGCCTCCCAGGGTCAGGCTCTTCTCACATCCCCTTTTGAGAAACTGGTCAGTGGACTTCCCATTTCTGAGAGTTCTTCCAGGTGTGTTACCTGCAAAATTGCAAGGTTGGCATGAGGGTGCAGGCATTAACAACAGGTAGGATGGCAGGGAGGCATAGTGTTGTGTGGTGTGTAGTGGCAGAAGCGTCAGAGTGACTGTGCTGCCATGTACCACAATGCTCCAAGCTTTCCACACCTCCACCTCTTCCTCTCGGGCAATGACCTGAAGTGTTGCGATGCCAAGGGGACAATGGAGCCCTACACAGCTGCTACTAGATGCAGGTGCCTGTTGTAGAAGGATCTGGCTCATCAGTGGGTATGGGCTCCACAGGTCCTGCCTTGGGTGTCCCAGGCTTAAAGAGACCCTGGTGGGCATGGTTTGGACTGCAGCAGGGTAGTCCTCTGATGCTTCGGGACTTAAATCTGCTATAATGGACTTGTTATGGGCAGACCCACCACCCAAGATGCAAATGGTGGCTAATGGATTCAGAGTCTTCTCCACAGTGAAACATTCTTTGGAAGAACCTCTCCTAGAGAGGTCAGGTTAATCCTTTTCCTCTCTGTGCACAGGAGGAGGGTGAAAACCTCCTTGGCTCGCTTGAAATGTATATCAGTTACCCTTGTTTTATATATGCAGTTGTACCCTTCTGTGCCACTGCTGTTTTCGCAGGTTGTAGGGGTGTGCAAGAAACCCTTTTTATTTTATTTTTCTGCTTTTTAAAGAGTTCCATTTGTTTCGTTTCCATTTCTTGAAATTGCATTCACACATTCAGTCATTAGTTGATTGATATTCCCCAATCCACTGATTGAAGCAGGAGACTCAGCCTTTCCTCTGTGTGTTATTTTTCCCAAAGAAATGGCATGGAGTGTAAAGGCATGGTATCACCACTCTGGATCATCAGATACGCCCAATTTCAGGTCTAGTTTTATAAGCAAACAAACATGAACGGGAAAACTTTATACAATGCATTCATCTTTAATGCAAATTCCTTTTAATTGATTGCTATAACGATGAATTAAGAAGGCTCCATTTTTTCCATATGTGAGTTCTTTTGAAAAGTGTGCACTGTTATTAAACCTTTTTTTATTTTCTTGTAATCATTTTTCCTTCTGTGATTAAAAGTCATGTTGGGAGCATGGTTCTGTCCTAAAAGTGAGATATAAATGCAATTAATGAAGGGATAGAAGAAGGTTGTTAGCGAAAGTTGTGCATTTTTTTCTCCATTAATGAGGGAAAAAAACTGAACACCTTGTGTTTTATTCCTAAACAGGTACCATTTCCGTCAACACTATGCGCACGCCATATACTGCACCTGGAGAGAGTGAGATCTTGGACCTAGACGACGACTTGTACCTTGGAGGTTTGCCGGAAAACAAAGCAGGCCTCGTCTTTCCAACAGAGGTCTGGACAGCGCTTCTCAATTACGGTTATGTGGGCTGCATTCGGGACCTGTTTATCGATGGCCAAAGCAAAGACATCCGCCAAATGGCAGAAATCCAGAGCACCTCTGGGGTGAAACCCTCGTGTTCGAGAGAAACAGCAAAGCCGTGCTTGAGTAATCCCTGCAGGAACAGTGGAGCTTGCAGGGACGGCTGGAATAGATACGTCTGCGATTGTTCCGGTACAGGCTATCTGGGCAGATCGTGTGAGAGAGGTAGGCCCATTCATTGACCTATTTGGTTAGAACAGGGATTCCCTTTTCCTTCACAGACAACATCAAAACTGCTGAGGGTCTTGATACTGATTGGCAGGTGAGAAACTAGCAGTGTGATGTAGCAGCAGCTACCACTACTGTGTTGTGTTGTGAAGGCTAATATTAAGGGAATGGGTGGGAAGGCCCTGGTTTACATCTCAGAGAACCAACATGCATACCAGGGTTTGGCAACCTTCTCCAGCCCAGTGGGCACGTTTGGAATGTTGAGGATGCCATGGGTGCCAGTCACACAATGGCTGCTCTGGGGGAATGGCGTAATGACTGCCACAGCTCAAAAAGCAGAAAAGGAGGCTGCACAATGGTTTGGTCACTTCCTTCACCTGATCAGAGACGTGGCACAATTTTATTTTATTTTGTCGCACCCTCCCCACACACATCGACAGCTCAGGGTAGGCTTGGAAGAGACACCTCACAGGATTCTTGGGGTGTGTGCACTTTAAATGGGTTCATAGCCTGAAGTGACGGACATGAGGCAGGAGTTGATAATGCAGGTGAGCTGCACACAGGTGAGCTGCAAGCAAGCTGCCAGCCAGCTCTGTGGAGGCTCCTTTTATTGACACAAATATGCAAACCCAGGCAGATACATTTTGGGCTGTGACCTTTACACATCTTCCAGTCCCAAGATCGTGGGCTGGTACAAAGTTATTTTGGCACCTGTTTCCACTGCGTCATTTTCCCCTTGCACAGTGTATGACGAAGGAGACAAAAGGTCTCAGAGACAAAGGTTACAGACAGGGCACCGCAGACTACTGAGAACGCGAAAGGTTAGACAGAGGGCACGATGTTCAAACAGCTGTGGCTTTGTCTGTGAGGGGGAGTGTGCCCCGCACCCCAAGGTCACGTGTGCAGGCAGACTGCGGCTGCCTGCGGGTGGGGAGTGTCCTCCCTCCAGACCCAGCAATCATCCCTACAGCAGCCAAAGAAAGGCAGAGATGCAGCAACACTCTATACACGCCCCATTTGCTGGGTTGCATGTGATCTCTTTGGAGACCTTGCCCAGCGCCGGAAGGAACTCCCTGTCTCCGGTGCAATGGAGTCTCTGGGAATACGAAGGCCGTGGCCCCCGCTCTCCCATTTCCCTGCCCACCTGCCCAAGCCCCTTCTTGCTGCCTTACTCCATGCTGCCACCTTCTGTTCCCACGGCAAAACAAAACAAACTCATCCTCTTCCTTCGCCTTTCTTTCTCAACCACGTCTAAAGTACTGATCCAGCCCGGATCCACTCACTGCGTCCTGGAGAGTGTGCGCCTCTGGATGCAAAATAAGTTCCGGAATCAAGGGCTTTTTTGCCCTCTCCTGGGGATCTGTTGTCTCTCTTTGCTGTGGCTCTGTCCCTATAGGAAGCTCAACCTTGCCAGGCTAAGCTGAAAGGATTTCAGAGAGCAAACTCCTTCCCTCTCCCAAGTTAGGAGTTGGGGACCAACTGGTCATCCAATAGCCAAGAAGTGTGATTTGTGGCAACCCCAAAGACTCCTCCCCCAACAAACCACCGCCTTCTCAACCAACCACTGCAACCCTTGTCCAAGGGTGGAGTTACCTGCATGGGCACCCAGAGTGGCAGCCATGCTGTGCATCTGGGGTCCCAGGGCAAGCCCCGCATGGTGTGTCATCCCCACTCTCCCCCCACGCCCCTGCACCTGATCCATGAATAAAAGGCACTTACATCAACCTTCACCATGCTGGCTGGCAATCACCCAAAGAGAGAAGCTCTTCTGTGCTCAGAACAGATAGAAAGGTGGGTTCCAAATCCTGGCATCTTGTGAAATGTGGGCATATTTACAGGGATGTATTTGGTGTATGAGCGGCTGAGCCGGTGCAAATAGGAGCTGAGCCTGAAGAAGAAATAGCCTCTCACGTACTGTGGATTTTTTTGAGGGAATCTTTGCTTAGACCTTTCATGGGCACCATAGGAGCAGGCAGAATTGAACTCATAATTCTTCTTCTTCTTTGGCGATCACTCATAGCCGTGTAAGATTGTCTTCCATGAACATGGTCTTAGCAGCATGTCCGTAAGTGACTACGGAGGCCAATTCTGGATCCACACCTCCTTCCACAGTTAGGGACATTGGTTTCCCGGTGGGAGTTGAACATGGTGAAGGTTTGACAAGCGAGCTTTCCTCTTAGCACATTTCTCTTTTTTGTCCTGAGTTTGAGCATCTTCAAAGTCCATGAGGCCTTTGGTAAAGGCTGTTCTCCAACTGGAGCACTCACAGGCCAGTGTTTCCCAGTTGTCGGTGCTTAGACTACACTTTTTAAGATTTGCCTTGAGAGAGTCTTTAAACCTCTTTTGCTGACCACCAGCATTATGCTTTCCATTTTAAAGTTTGGAATAGGGTAGTTGTTTGGGAAGATGATAATCAGGCATCCGAACAGCTTGACCAGTCCAACAAAGTTGATACTGGATCCCACAAGTACCATGTTGGTGACCCCTGGCATAATGACTAAGAAACTGAGGAATGAACCAGAACGTTCAATTTTGATCTTTTCTGACCCTTTCCCCACATCCTACAATATCCTTTTTGAGGTGAGGTGACCAAAACTATACACATCAATCCAAATATGGTCACACCACACATGTGTGGTGTGATTGCAATATCAGCAGTTTTAATTTTAGTCCCTTAACAAAAGCTTTGTCAAAACAACAACAACCCACCTTCCTTATAAGCTTAGCACTAGTTAAGACCGAGCCTTCCCTTTCTGCTGCTGTAAATGAAACGTTTTTCTGCGAAGGGAGTCCTTGTTTCTTATTTTAGAAGATGCAAGCCTTTGGCAGAAATCAAGTTATTTTTGATGCCTCCAGATTGTTCCTATTACTGGTGGACTGCGGCTGGCAGAGGGGGCCTAACTAGACTGTCAGATGAATTACAAAACTCTTCAGTTAAATATGCATGGTGTACCACCCTGTGGCAAAATCCTGCTATTACATATGGGACATTTTTCCTCCTCGCTGCTCCCCTCCCCATCCGCTTAAAGAGTGCAGCATTATGAAAAGAGAAAGAGAAGGAGGGAGAGATAGAAACCTACAGTTTTCAAAATAAAAAAGAACTAGGGAATATTTTTACATATTCCAGCCACTGGAGAAAGGAACAAGCATATGCAAATCTACTATAAAAAAATCCACAAACCCCACCACCATTCTCTGCAAGTTTAATAGCATGCTTCAGCAAAAGGATTTGCAGTAAGTATCTTTGACAGGGCATGGAATTTCTTTCTGTTTACGTTGTTTGTCATCCCTCACAACGTATGGTTTGGGCATTTCCCCCAATATAATTTTCTGGAACATGGACCCTCCTCTGCTGGGACCGATACTAATATGATGTACTCACAGTGTTATCTGGCTGCTTGTCCTACAGAAATCAGTTGTGTGTTTATTCAGCTTCTGGAGTATTATACGCTACCCAAGGGTTTTCCCTATCTTGGGGTGGGGGGTGGGGAGGGAAAGGAACAGCTTTTCAAAGCATTGCTTCGCCTCCTTCCAGTAATAGTTGAATCCCAAACGGTCATGCATTAATATGATTACAGCATTTGGGATTCCGTAAGCTACAGCAAAGGCAGTGCTTGCCACACAGAACTATTATTGCTCCTACCCATGTGCGGTTGCTGATAAACCGTTCTTGTTTGCCAGTAGACACGACAATTAAATGGTTGTTCGTGCCATTCAAAAAGGAAGCAATTTTTTTTTGGGGGGGGGTGGAAAGAAAAGATGTTCACATCAGCAAACAAACCCACTTCAGGGAGCATGTGGGGTGTGGGGGACTATGCTGGTTTGAATCACAAATTTTAGAACAACGTAGCTAAGGACTAGGGTGTGAAATAGTTTGTCAGGTAGTGTAGGATGGAGATAGCACAACGCGGAGCACTCAAGATGCTGTTGGACTCCAGTTCTCGTCATACCTGACTGTTGGCCATAACAGTCTGCTGGGAGCTGTAGCTTGAGAGCATTTTATAGAATTGTGTAATTCTAGGGTTGGAAGGACCACAAGAGTAATCTAGTCCAACCCCCTGCAATGCAGGAATCTTTTGCCCAACATAGGGCTTGAACCCACAGCCCTGAGATTAGGAGCCTCATGCTCTTCAAACTGAGTGTCACCCGTTTAGAAGGCGACACCTTAGCAACTCCTGATTTAGGAGAACTACAGTAGATGGTAGCCAGTGTTCATATTTTAAATACAGCCAGTTGCGTGTGTTAGAACCTATTCCAGCATTCTGTTCCCAACACTGGCCTGATGTTCCAAGAAGGCGATAGTAGTGCCAAATCTGCCAATCGAAGCAGCCAAGTGGGAACATTTGGGGTAAGATGACCTTGTGACCGTTTCCGAGCACAATTCAAAGTGTTGGTGCTGACCTTTAAAGCCCTAAACGGCCTCGGTCCAGTATACCTGAAGGAGCGTCTCCACCCCCATCATTCTGCCCGGACGCTGAGGTCCAGCGCTGAGGGCCTTCTGGCGGTTCCCTCATTGCGAGAAGCAAAGCTACAGGGAACCAGGCAGAGGGCCTTCTCGGTAGTGGCGCCCGCCCTGTGGAACGCCCTTCCAGCAGATGTCAAAGCGATAAACAACTACCTGACATTCAGAAGACATCTTAAGGCAGCCCTGTTCAGGGAAGTTTTTAACGTGTGATATTTTACTGTATTTGTGGTTTTTATGGAAGCCGCCCAGAGTGGCTGGGGAGGCCCAGCCAGATGGGCGGGGTATAAATAATAAATTATTATTATTATATTATTAGTAGGTAAACTGGTCTCAAGTTGTGAAGGGCTTTATTAATTAAAGTTATTCGGGGGTTTTTTTAACAAAAAGAATAAAACAAAGATAAACTCAAAGCAACTTACAAAAAATTAAAAGCCGAGTTACAGGGAACCAGGCAGAGGGCCTTCTCGGTAGTGGCACCCGCCCTGTGGAACACCCTCCCACCAGATGTCAAAGAGAACAACAGCTACCAGAC